ACTTGTTAAGCTAGAGAAACATCTATCATTTGATTCCCACTTGTGTATACATGACCCGAAACAGGAAATACATAATTAAAGCTTTCTCCACCTCTCTCTCAGTTTGCTGCAGTTGGAAGCATCTTTGGTGAAACATTTTCCTCTCCATGATTTTTTTGTAGTTTATTTACGGGTTAAATTCATCGATAGTCACCTAACTTTATGCTTATTATCATAATGGTCACCTAATTTGATTTTGTTTTATCATGACCATCCAAATTTATACTTAGTGTTATCATGATCACCCAATTTCACATAACGACACTTTAGCTATTCAAATTCATATAATGTTTCCATGATCATCCAACTTCTTTTCACCATTTTCACTAAATTTAAAAGAGATAAAACGGCAACTTTGCATTATATATATAAAAACAAATTTAAAAAATAAAAATAGAATAAAAACTTATTTTAATAAAACTAAAACTTATTTTTAAAAAGTTACTTGAAAAAATAAAATAAAAACTCATTTAAAATTTTTTTTAAAATAAAATAAAAGCTCATATAAAAAAATTACTTGGAAAAATAAAATAAATAAAAAAGTTATTTAAGAAAACGTTCCCTAAAAAAATAAAATAAAATAAGACTCATTTTAAAAAAACGTTGTTAAAATAAAATAACAACTTATTTTAAAAAACGTTACGTAGAAAAATAAATTTAAATAAAAACAAATTTTAAAAAAAGTTTCTTAAAGTGTTGGATATTCATGGTAAAACATTTCATGAAATTGGATTACAATGCTAAAATAAAATCAAATTGGATAGCTATGATGACAATAAGTATAAAGTTGGGTGATGATGATGAAACAAATTTAAATTGAGTTGTCATGATGACATAACTATAAAGTTGAGGGGCCATCGGTGAATTTAACCTTTATTTACACATGCATTTGGCTCCGTTTTATTGGAAATCTGATTTTTCGAGAGACAGCAGAGATCTGTTTGAAATTCTTGGCCTACTTCTTCTTGAATTTTGCTTTAGCAGCTTAGCTGTTCTTAAATTCTGTGTTGCGATGGAAAGGGACTGCCTGGGATTGAGCTCTAAGGATTCTGTTGCTGATAAAGCCGAAATTGTACAAGATTGCAAAGATTCTGGTGATTCATCTCTCTTTCACGCTGACACGCGCGCGCACACGACACACAATTATTTTTAGTTTCAACTGATGACAATTCTGTAATTTGGATTTTGATATTGTATTTGGTTAATGGGTTGTGTTTGAATTTCATTTCTTTACTATTATGAGGATATTTTGTTTGGTCCTTTCCTATTTCCAGTTTTCATGATAGTTTTGGATTTGGAATCGGATATTTAATGCGTAAAATATCAAGAAATCTCTCTAGAGCTGGATTAAATTTTCAAAATTAAGAAGCTTCATTCTAAACTGGCATGTAGGAGAGGAAAAATGGAATATGGATATGGTGAATTAGCACAAATAGTGTGTATAAATCCTTTCGATGAAGGTAGTCAATGTCGGCTTGTTCGACCAATTTCAGTTACATAGTTTTATAAACAGAGATCACTTATTATTTTGTTCATATTGGGAAAAAAATAATAATAATAAAAAATAAAGAAAGAAAGAAAACTCTTACGTGTAAATTATCGATCTTTCATATAATACGCCAATTAGGAATTTAGGAACCATAGCTTTGATTACCTGTTTGTAAGCAGCAGAAGAAAATACATCTAACTTTTGAATTTTGGGAGGAATGATTAATAGGGTAAAAGCAGTTTCCTTACTTATAACAGTCACAAGGAAAATAATTTTTGCTTTAAAATTTTTGTCAATTAGTTCGCTCCGAATGAATCAGATTGTTTCATTCCTTTACTTAAAAAGGGTTAAGTATAGGTATCACTGTCTTCTTCACAAACTGACTTGAACAGCTCGTATTTCTTAATCAAGCCTCTTAGCTGTCAATGGGAAAATTGCAGAATTTTATAAACATGTGTTCTTGTTACAAGCTTTCTCCATATCTGATTCAGTATTTCTTGCATGTTATTCGTGTTCAAAGGATTCACCAAGAGTTCAGGGGTTCCATGGCTGTTATCAAACAAGGAGCCCATCCTTCCAGATTTTGTGCCTTCTAAATCTGAACAATACCAAACACTCTCAAAATTCAAGTGGGGTCCTCTTACATCTCCTGGAGACATTACAAAATCTGTTGAAGACATATGTGATGCCAGCCCAAAACGACAATCAGGCAATAAGCAGGTTTAATTTTATCTAATTAAGTTTTGTTGCTTGACTATTGAAAAGGTCCAGATGAAAGTGGATTATTTCAATCGTAGCATGTTTTCAGTTTTTAAAGCATTCTACTGCGAATCAACATATTAATGTTGTATATAACCTGTGGTTTTTGAAACTTCCTCCTGAATGGTTTTTAATATCTCAGAAGTACATTAATTATGATGTGCAGCAGCACCTAGTTTATCCTCTCTTGATCAATCCTTTTCTCAAAAATATTTTTATTGGTTCTGGTCAGAACTTTGGGGATGCTACCATGACGCCACGAGTTCTTGGTGAGATTCCTCTCACATGTCTTCCTTCCACCTTTGAGGCTAGGAAATGCAAACAGTGGTACACTGTAACCTTATTTGATATTGCCTATGCGTATATAAATTCTATAAATATATGGCTGTCACCGGATAAATATTAATAGTGAATATGTGGTAGTAATGTTCTAAGTGTACTCATTTTTGCAGGATCTATGTACTATGTTTGTTTGTCGAGTATACGATTAAGTTATTTTAAGAAAGGGATGAGGAAGAATATTAGTTCCCATCAAAATCAAAACATCAATTTCTATGCTTTGCTTGTTGTAGGTTTGATTCTAAGGCTTCTGCTGCTCCTAGTCAGTTGACAATATTTTATGCTGGAAAAGTGAATGTCTTTGATGACATCTCCCCGGAGAAGGTGCTTTGTTGTGTTCTTGCATTTGTTATTTTTATAATGATAAGTGAAATTTCTCCAACTTTTTTACCCTTTCACTGGGGAGTTTTCCAGGCTCAGGCAATTCTACTTTTGGCTGGAAATGGGTGTGTCTCATCTAACATGGCTCAAACTAGACTTTGCATTGATACCCCTACCTCCAAACTTGCAGCAGCTGATGAAGCATTGGTGAACCAAAATATGAATGCGCCACCTGGCTCTGCTCTCTCAAGTCCTATATCTGTTTCCTCTCATCCCATCAATCAGTCAGGCAGTACACCGCCAGCTAACAAAGAAGACGTCAAGGTATCTAATTCCCTTGGCTTCTCTGCCAATCTTGTTAGCAAATTGGAACCCCCAAGAATGCTAACATCTCTGGAATCTATAGCTGCAACTGCCATAATATCATCTGGTATGTTACGCTCTGATGTTATATGTGCATAATTTTTCAGTTTTAAACATAATGCTTTCAGCTTCAGTTAATTGTGCCTATTCTCAATACCATGGATTAACTTCATAATCACCAGTTACAAAGTTTGCCCAAATGCCATTACTTGTACTAAGAAGTATTTTTTGCAGCTGTTCCACAGGCACGCAAAGCATCCCTCGCTCGCTTTCTAGAGAAACGCAAGGAAAGGTAAACCATTGTACTTTGTCTAATTCATATCTGAATTTTAAGTTTTTTCTTTTTTGGCAACTCAAATCTAGTGGAATATATTCACACACAGACAAACCAGGAGTGCATACAGACCTATGTAACTGTCCTTATATTAGCTCTCTCTCAGTCTCTGAGTGTGTGCTCATTTTAGTTGCTTCATAGGTAGAACAGTGTAAAATCTCCAGTATCAAAATGTTTATTTCTTCACTTCATTTGCTTGTAAGGGCAATGAACTCAGCACCATACAACATCTGCAAGAAAGCTGCCGACCATGCCAACTCAGGGTCGGGTGGTCTTGGCTTCTCGGCTACTTCTGATGCACAGGGCTACATTTCTCTGTCTACCTGCAAGGAAACTAGTACTGAAATCTGATCATTTAAGTCAGAACTTTCCACGATGCATATGTATGTAAGTAGCAAGTAAATCTTTAGGCATTTAAGCTTGGTGATTTAACTTTTATGTATTATTTCCTATTTGAATTCTGGAATGTATTATAGTTTGTGTAAAAAAATCAAGTGACCTGTGACCATTGCTGAGTAAAATCGTGGCCTGAAAATTATGTATTTAGTTGATTATAGATCTTGGTAATTCAGGAGTTGACTAGAGTTTCAAAATCTATTTATAGGATCGGTATCATGATCAATGTCACTTCTCTCATCTTCAAGATGCCAACATAATCGAAATCGTGTTGACGAAGAGCATCTGCAGAATTTAATTGTCCGCCATGAACAGAACTTCTGGCATCCAACAGCACCCATCAACAGGAATCTCCCAATCAATCAATTTCCAATTCTGAAATGTCAAATTGTGTTAACAGATGGTGTTACCATAACAAAATTCAAAAATCACAATGAACTTTAACATTAATCATAAAATCATTGACCAATTACATTACATATACATCAATAGATTCAATACATGTATTAAGCCATTAAAAATAATTGGAAATGAAACCCGAATTGATCTGATTTTTCTATTCAAATTAAATGTGAGTGCGGATCACTCAAATCCACATGGCACTTGCTCATGGTAAGTTCCTCCTCTAGTCTTGTCTCTCTCATCCTCTCTGACTAGTACATTGGTTTGAATTTTGAATTCAACTTGACTTGGTCTCATAATTGATAGTGGCTTCTCTTGGTAGCATTTGGACTTGGCAAAAACAAGAGAAATAGAGAGAGGAACCAAGTGGGAGAGGTTTGTTTCTCCAATGAAAATTCTTGGTTATCTCTGACGGGTTTTCTCGGTATATCTATTGTCATTCCATTTGGATGAAGTTGCTTTTATCTGATATGACATAATCTCAACATCAAAGACTCCATTGGTGTTGGTGTTGAAGAATCTTTGGGTCAATTTTGGACACTTTGAGAGATTATTTCACATTGTGGGTTGTAATAAATCATTGTAATCTATATTTCATCTCTACATAAAATTTTCAAAGATTGCTTCAATGAGTTGGAATGGAGTTTTTGATGATATCATTGTGTTTTTCTTGTTTTTGAAATGACATAGCTGGGAGCTATAAAAGAGCTCAGGAGGGCCTCGCCTACCTAATCTATTTATGAGTGTGGAATTCTCTTCTTGGAGAGCCATGTATTGTCGGGATCGGTTATTTCATAATGATTCCTTTAGCTCAGATCATCGAGCAATTATATTGAAGTCGCAGACACAGTCAAAGCAGAACTGTTTACATTAGTGGGAGGTATTCTGTTTTGAACAACTATGGATGAGGAAGGGTGGTGTAGTGAAATTATTGCTGAACTAAATAAAGTTATGGCATAAACAAAATGGTGGCTCAGAACTAAAAGAGATACGAAATACACGTGCTGAAACAAATAAAATTCTAGATAGAAGTCATCCTGGTCAGCAAGCTGGTTATCTCCAAGAGCTTGAGCACCGCTTATATGGGATATATGGAGGGGAAGAAACATACTGGGCACAGAGAGCCAGAGCATGTTGGATGATGGGGGAATCGAAATACAAAGTATTTCACACTAGAGCCACAATGCGATATTAGGCCTCATGTCTGAAATAGAAGAGTGGTTATAGGATATTGCCGGAATCAGAGGCTGGTGGATTGTTTTTTCACTGACTTCTTATCATCTGCCTCCCTGATGCTGAACCAAATACCCAATGCACCAGAAAGGATGCACTCTCGTATCAATGACACGTGCTAGTATTAGCATGCATAAGTCCTCTATAACTTTCAGTCCAAGCACTACTTAGTGTTACCCAACTGGAGATTGTAGAACTTTTCAACCTAAGTCCTATCGAACCCCATAGGGCCTCAAGTGCCTTTTCATAAGATACGGATTCCATTGCAATCAGTTCGTTCTGTAACCCCTCAAAGATTCATTTGCCTCCATCTGATGTCATTTAGGTGCACTTTCGAAGCTTCGCCGAGTCTGTGCTCAACAAAATCATTCATAATGGGAAGGCAGCTAAGGCTAACTTCAGATGAAATCGGGTTTCGGCTTATTGCACCATCTTTTAGCTGTGCCCATCAGGATCATGTGGAAGGCTTGGAACTTTAGAGCGGCAAATCATTTTCGTGTTTCATTTCAGTTCTGTAATCTGCCAGATAGTACATGGGGTCATCCCCGTCCATTTTGTTTTTCCAATTTTGGTGGACATTGTTCATCTTATCCAACTCGTGGCTGAATCATTATCTTCATATTCTAAAAAATAATCTTGCGCAAGGACTGGTGCTCCAGGGATGATTAGTTTGGCTCTCCTGCTCACGGCCACGGGTTGGATTACTTGCTTGGCGATACCCAGAATAATAGCTTTCGCTCCAGGATGGGAATGGCTTGCAACTGGAGCATTGTTCCTTCCCCTAGTTTGAGTGTGAGCTATCAAGGGTTCAAGGAGCGGAGGTGTTTTCCACCCTCTCTTTCCTGGACTTTCTCTCGGTTACAGAAATTTCACTTTCTCAGATAGATTTGACATAGTTCTTGCTATCTATCAAGACTTAGACCTCTTTTTGATGATCCCTTCATTTGTTTTGGACGCTTAACTGCCTTCTCCTGTGAGGTCTAGGAGCTCCTCATGCTGCCTCTTGGCCAACTTGTTGACCCGAAAAAGTTGAAGCCAACAAGTCCCTCAATTCTATCCTTATCTAGTCACTTCTTTAACCTTCTTTGGGCTGCTGGAGCTCCGGGAAGCTCTTATATAGTGCCATCCACCATCAAGGACCAAAGATGCGAAGAACAAGAATTTGGATAGAGTTTATGATCATGTCCCATTATAGAATTATGGGTATTTCAGAACACGTCGTTCTGTTATGAATGAGCCTATAAAAAATTGTAATTTTAGATGGTTCCATGACAAGCGGCTCTTAGCCATTGAGTTAGTTGTTACTTTCAAAAGATTCCCTAAACCATCTTTTCGGCATCAAATTGTATTAGCTTCAACCACATGGCATTCCCTTGTACGGAGACGTGATTAATAAAGTATTTATGCGTCTTCTTTTGAGGAGACATGATATTCATTTCATCCAGTGGCCTCGGTTGTTCTGGATTCATTTGAGACCCAATTTGTCTTGAGTGCTTAGGTTTGGTTAGGAGGATGTGTTGAGAAAAATGTAGGAAAATCTGAAAATTTAATGAACTTCAAGGGACGAAAAGCGTTATCTTTTAAGAGATGTTTCTCCCCTATCCACCGAAGTCACGACTGAGATATGATAGAAAATCTCTCTCAGGATACAATGGAGGCGTTTGATTCAAATTGTAACTATTTGATCAAACCAAGAAGATACTCGAAAAAGAACTGATGGTGCTAAGAGAAAGAGAGAAGAATATTTTTTAATGTATTTTGCAAACGAGAATTCGCCCAAAATTTATAGAAATTGAGACTACCGTTTGAATAGGCGTGTCCCTTGAAATGAAGAACACATCTATTGGAAGTAACAGTTAAAACGAACAGACGCACCTATTCAAAGACTCTTGAAAATAAAATTCTCTTTCGAGGGTGTTGTCCCCGAGCCCCCACGACCCCCCTCGACCTGACCGAGCAGGTCGATCCTCGTTGCGCAGTGGCAAGCACTAGTCAGGCGGCAAATCATTCGCAAAAAAATAATGCCCCCTTCGTGTCTCTATGAGACCATTCTATGTCATGTAGATTTCACGAAGTAACAAAAGATAATGATAAATTTGACAAGTCATAAATTCCTAGGTCATGGAATAGAATTATTATCAATTACAGCGAAAGCAACGATCTCACCTATGAGGAGAGAAATTGTGAGGTATTAGGCTAACATAATAATCAAATAGTAGAAATTAATGCTTTTCATAAAATATAAAAATAGAAAGACGAACCTTGGTTGACAAATAATTTATTGTAAAGACCACTTTAATGCAAATTAAGGAGAAAAACGAAAAAGAAATAATAGAAATAATCAAATTTTAACAATGTTTTCAACGAACCCACATTAAAATCTTAGATAAATGTTGGACGAAATCTCAAGTGAGCAACTAAATTTTAATTTGTTTCAGTTGAATCATTGGATTTCAATTTATCTTTTAATTAGATGATTAAAATTTAATTTAATTTTGTTTCGCGCGGTTGTCGCTAACAATTAAAAAGGGATTAGACGATTGACGATTGTAAAAGGAACAAACCTCTTGAGACAAAATCCCAAAAATGGGTGTTTTATTGGTAATGACTTTACAATTGAAACTTAAACAGAATGTCTCTAAGGGGCGCAAGCACACGAGTACTGAAAAGAAATGTTTTAAATCTAAACTAAGGAATTGAAATTACATATTCTCTGTTTGAAAGTATTTGATTCGAGGTCCTTGCTCTATGTCTTTTCTTCCTTTTATATTCCCTTGATGCTCTCTTTGTGAGCAACCACTTAGAAACCGCTTAATTGCTTTATAATTGCTCACTTTCTTCATGGTGGCCAACTTATTGTGGAACTGCCGCTTCTAACTGCTGCCATTACTCTTTATCGTTCAACTGTCCTCAATTGAACATCCTTGAATCGTGGAACGTGATAAAATTACCCAATAATTGCTTCGATAATTTTTTGGATAACCATAACATCTTATGTTTGCTAAGATCCCGGGCGATTCGAAGGTTTGGGCGAGAACAGGGTCATAACTCTGGGCGACTGCAAGGCACTTCATTCGCTCAGATCTTGGGTGTCTTGCAAATTTGGGCGATGGTATTACTGCGTTCGTGGGCTTCCATTGCATTCATTAATAACCCTATTTGGGCATTTATCCTGAATTGCTCAGTTGGGCTTCATTTTTTGGGCTATTCGAATTGGGCTGCACTTTTAGCGTGTCAACAATTACCCCCTAATATGGCAGAATTAATACCAATTATTAATATTTTGCCATATTAACTTTGTGTTTCCCAGCAACATTTGAAATTCCCAAGAGTTTCAATTATTATTTTCTTCCATAGCTTGAAAAGGTGTGACGTTGCAAACCCTTATAACCCCCAAATACACGCCATTTTATCGCACTACTAAATCACGCCTCATTGCTTCGCGCTTCTCTCTCGCAATATTACTGTTCATCTTCTTGCTTCTCTGCTACGTTTCTGAAGCAAACTTTAACAAAGCTTTATTTCATTCCTAATGGCTGCTTCACAATCCCAATCTGGTGACTCTTTCAGTTTCGAAGACTTCCAGAAACTCTTTACTTGGCCATATATAACTCCGAACTTCCTTGTACCAACCAATGCCGAACTCAACGAGTTTTATCTAGGTCCCTCATTCAAGAACACAGAAGTCGTCGAATAAGTGGCGGTGGGCCAGCTGTTCCCTTGTACTCAAGGCCCCCCGTTTCTAAACTCTTTGCCGCTGAGGCCGCTTCGCGAAAGAAGTATTCTCACTTGGCTTAAATCTGATGTTGTTTTTCGTAGATGACATGCTTGCCTTGTGGACCATGGTCCTACCAAGGCAATTTTTGATAATGCTAGGATTTCTGATTTGCTAGAAATCTCTCTTCAACCCCCTAGTTTTGATCCAGCGCTTTTCTCTATTGCTTTAAGTTTTTGGTCCTCTGAGTATAATACTTTTGTTTTCCCTTTTAGTCCCATGTCCATTACTTTAAGGGATGTTGGGGCCTTAGTAAATCTGCCACCTTTGGGCGATACCATTTTCCTTGGTATTTTGATTTCTGGCGTCGCCCCAAAATTTGACAAAAAACTGACCGAGTCTTATCCAAGCCTGCAAAGCTGTTATAATCACTCGAGCACTGAGCTTTCTCATGCTAAGCGTGTGGCTTTTTTTCAGATTTGACTTTGTAAATATATTCTGTGTGTGCCAAGTCTGAAGCCTTCTATGAGCTATTTACCCATAGCGCACGAATTGGTGCGTGGTAGGCCTCTGAATTTGTGTTCTTTCTTTTTGGCTGCCCTCTATAGAGGTATGGTTTCTCTTCAATCCCAATTGAAGAATGATGCATCTCCCACTGGCAGTGGGCCTCTTTGGTTCACTTAAATGTGGTTGAGAG